CACGTAAACGAGGGAAGGGACTGCGAAACAATGCCGAATAGCTTGCTACGCGCTTTTCCAGCTTTTGGGGAAAATAATTTATGCAAGAAAATTAATACGCTAAATATGCAGGGGCGTGAATATGTAAATTCAATATGGCGTATTGCAAGGAACGCATTATATTTGACGAAGACAAGTTTTCAGAAGCAGTGAATATCGCTTGCTGTCTTCTAAAAGTAAATTCTTTTTATCATGACCAAATAGAAGCTCTTCGAAATTTTTTCAAAGGCAATGATTTATTCTTCAGCGCTCATACTGGATACGGGAAATCGTTAATTTTTCAAGCAATACCGATTATTACGGATGTATTGCAAGACCAAGTGATTAGCACAAGTACAGTGCTTGTTGTTTCGCCTTTGTTGTCCCTCATACAAGACCAAATTAAGCATGTCAACGAAACCTTCAGTATCTCTGCTGCTGGGATATTTGATGGACAAGAGGAGGAGATTATACGAGATATTGAGGACGGTGTATATTCATTGCTCTACACGACACCCGAAGGTTTGTTGGGAAATAAACGATGGAGAACGTTAGCAAGTTCACAAACATTTCGCGAACAGTGCGTAGCAATCGTTGTTGACGAGGCACACTGTTTGGTGCAGTGGCAAGTGTATAAAAGAGATTATTAAATTAACACATTAAAGTGAACAGAAAATGGACTGAAATGTTAGCCACATAGCCTGATGTGTCTCCTTTACTGTACATATACTGAAATAATCTTTGTCTGTCACAAATTCCCAATAATCTTTGTCTGTCACAATATTAATTTTCTACTGACAAAATTTTTATGTTCAAATTTTAGGGGACAGTCCACATCTCATCGGGCAGCACCATTTAGGCAATGGTATACCAACCTTGGTGAACTCAAGTCCTTGCTGTTGTCATCAACAAGATTTGCCATATTTACAGCAACAGCCACCAAAGCAACTAAGAATACAATATTCAAAATGCTAAACTTGAGTACTCTCACAACATACTCAATTGAAAAACCACCACTACGTAGTAACATTAGTTTTAGGTTTGTGTATGTGCACAAAGAACAGCCTTTAGAAACCGTTTTTGCATTTTTGGTGCATGAGTTGAAAGCCAAAGGAATTGATGCAGATAAGTGTATAATTTTTTGCCAAACAAGAAAGCAATGCTCACTAATTTATCGTATGTTCCAAGTGGCTTTAGGAAGCATCAACTTTTTGAAAGATTCCTCTGACTATGAGAATTGCCTTGTTCAAATGTTTCATGCTGGAAGTCCAGATTCTGTGAAAACCCATGTTGTCAAGGAAATGACAAAATTTAATAGTCACTTGCGCCTTCTCATATGCACTATAGCATTTGGAATGGGCATTAACTGCAAGGGAGTTTATCGCAGCATTCACTTTGGCCCTTCAACCACAGTAGATAACCTTGTCCAAGAAACTGGAAGGTTGGGAAGAGATGGTAAACAGTGTTTCTGTTATGTCCTATTCAACGGTCTTCTTATGGCTCATTGTGATATCAAAATTAAAGAGCTTGTTGAAACAGAATGTTGTAGAACAAAGTTCATTCGTCAGCTTTTTCCTGGAGATGCACATGATTCAAACCAGCCAGGCTGTCTTTGCTGTGACTGGTGTAGCAAAAAGTGCACCTGCTTAGACCATGGAACCATACCCGGTGTCTCATTCGATAGTGAGGCTACTGCTGAAAAATCTAAATCTCGAAAACGTTTTGTGAGAAAAGATCAGAAAGAGGAACTTGAGAAAAACTTTTACAATATAGGAAATGTTTATTGCCATCAAGTACAGATAAATTTATTCCTGTGGGTTCAACTGGAATCTTATTTGAGTTTGACAACTATCAAATTACTCAGGTGCTACAGAATTGTGATAGCATTTTTAACATAAATGACATTGCTGACTGTGTGGAAGTATGGAGACATGTACATGCAAATAACATTTTCAAATGCATGAGCGAAGTACTTGATGATATGGATAGTTCAGACTTTCCCTTATCTTTGTCTGAAGAAGATTTTGAAGACATGGAAGTAATTGATGATGATTGGGAATTGATTAGAGATGATTCATCAAGGGCTGAATTGTTTGATAACTCTAAATTTGAAGAGCTAACCATGATGACAAATGAAAACAGTCAAAATGAAAGCCTCATTAAATTTGGACCTGGAAACTTAAGTGGCCTGTTAGCTCCCATAACTGATGTTATTGATGGTATGGAAATTTAACATGACTGTATATTTGTAATGAGTTATGGTTTAATTAACCCATTAAACAGCAATGCTCTCGAATGCACCCTACTTTATTCTTTTACTCTGTGTAATGCTAGATGATTTTACTCGTCAATGGGAGGAGAGTCTTGCACTTTAACGGGTTAACAAACTTTGAGTGCATTGTTTGTATTTAAACAGAAAGCTATTAACTGTCTGCTGTCCCAATTGTTGAGTACTGTAGTTGACTCTGTAGTTTTATGTCTATCCTCAGTAGAATATGACCATTTACTTTATTTGGTCTAACACCAGACAATATACTCATCAGGGGAAGACTCTTGTGTTTAATGGTTAAGCCATCTGACAATTTTTTCTAGTTAACCCATTGAACCGCAATGCAGCCCAGTGCGCCATACTCACTTTTTTACTTGTCTAAAGGTGGATTTCCAGTCCTCGCACGAAGCTCCGCACGAGCTTCGTGCGAGAACTGGAAATCCGCCTTAAAGCCAGACAATTTTACTCGCAATGTAAGCAGCAATGTAAGCTGGTGTTAGAGTAAGTATATTAAATAAGTGACAATAACAATTAACCCATTTGTCAAAATAATCTTCATTTCATCACCCTTAAACCAGTATATTATATTTATAGTGCATATAAAAAGTTATAATATAGCATTTGTAAATTCTGAATATTTCCTTGTGCTATATTATAAAACAAATATAAAACTTTTTTCCGTATTGATATATAGTTATATCAACACAAGTGGAAATTGGGAAAACAAGAAATTGTGTGGAAACACGACGCCCACACTCGTGGAAATCGGGAAAACTCGAAATCCACTCGTGTTGATATAACTATATATCAACACAGAAAATGTTTTATATTTGTTAAGTGTAAAATATGACTTTTTCACCGTGCACACTTTTTTTAAATGTACATTCTTCTTGTGAGTGGTGATCCACTTGAACAGTGAGCGTAAGTCAGAATTGGACAAAAGACTGTCTTGAAACCCTTGAAAATGACTTAGGTCTCTTTTTTCTTGGAACAATAATGCATTTTGATCGAGTAATTCTTTGACATTTTTTTGAAGATCAGCAGCAACAGAGCGACAATAATGTTTCCCTGATCGACGTGTCACACCACATAAGGTATCAAAATTGTCCAAAATACTCTTGTTAACTGCAAGTGCATCACAGTACCGATCAATTGCTCTCTTGTTTAAGCCATTAGGACCCAAATTTCGAATCAAGATCTTAAGAGGGAATCTCCACTATCACAGAGCAACTGGTGGCACATGATAAAAAATGAAAAGTTTTCTTATTTTGTCCAGTGATACACTAATGTATACTTAGAAACGTGATGGGGTTTGTTTTCTG